TTAGAACAGTCAGCTTTTTACTCTTCACCGTCAATGAGCAATAGTTAATAACCAACCAATAATGGCTCCAGTGTCGGGGGCTTTGCAAGCACAAATGAGAAATTATTACAATCCCATTGATTAAATCAGCCATTCGCTGGTTCTTGACAGTTTGGTGTGTTGGAGCTGCCGTTACACAGCAAAGAACCGATTCCCAGTGAAACAGTGTATTGTAGGTGACCCTATTTCGCTGGCCGAGCATGAGGTAATATAGACTGTGATTTCAAGTAGGTGAAAACTTCTTGAGGAAAACTGGTCATGTGGAGTTATGGCTTCCTGCCTTTGCTCCTTGTGAAAGGAGGCTGTGTTCTTGCTGGGAACACAGAGGTGTTCATTCTCAGCAGAACAACCCCTGGGGAACAACTGGCACTGTGCATTGTTTTGGGGGGAAAAGAAATGAATTCTTCTATGATATCGTAGAATACATTTTTATTTAAAAAATAATTAAGGGGTAATAGAGCACTTGAGCAACTTTTGATGGGTGTAACAATTGCCACTTAATTATATAAATAAGACTGAAGAGACAAACAGAGTGTTACGTGTATGTTGACCATGGTAAAAATTTGAGAAAAACCAATTGGATGTGACAGACTTGGGGCAGAAATGACCTGTCACACATGTGGAATGCCGCATTTCTTTTGTGTCTGGACTAAGTTTTACTAGAAAGAGACTACCCAGCTGCTTCATGATGAGGAAGTTACTAGTGTCCTTTCTCCCTCGTCAGGCTTCTAAGAATCCCCGTGTTAGGGAAGCCCTTGTTCAGGTTCAGAATGCTATATTTGGGGAGAGCCCACCTCATCTTGTGCTCGGCAGTGGAGAGCTGCAGATACTGGAGACAGCCATTCATCTGGGACGTTACCAGGCACTGCTAGTAAATGTTTTAGTTTCATAATTTTTTGTTGATACTTCTATTTCTCTCATTGGATTACATTGTTTAGAAAATATCTTTGTAGTTTCTTGGATAGAAGGTAGAATCCCAAAGATCAGAGGAAGATGCTTGAGAGAGAAGCCAGAGTTGACACAGAAGAATGTGGTCTCAGGATTGGAGGGAGACTCATCAACAACCTGCACTATGCAGCTGACACCATCTCACTCGCTATGAGTAGGGCTTGAAACACTTCCTGCAGAAGATCAAAGACTACATATCACCTTCAATATAGATTACATCTCATCGTAACATCAAGAAAACAAATTTTCACCACTAGACTGATAGGCAACATCAGGATATATGGAGAGAAGATTAAAACTGTCGATGAATTCATCTTACTTGGATCCATAGTCAACACACTTGGTACCAGCAGTCAAAAAAATAAAAATAAAAATTCCATTGGGAAAATTTACTGTCAGAAAGCTCTCCAAAGTACTTAAGGGCAGTGATGTCAGTTTAAAGACTAAGGTGCACCTAAGCCAAGCCATGGTCCTCTCAGTTGCTTGTTACGCATCTGAAATGTGGACAGTGACTAAGGATGACAGAAGAATAATAAATGCCTATGAATTGTGGTATTGGAGAAGAGGATTGAATAACCCATGGACTGCCAAGAGAACAAGCATATCTACCCTAGAGAGAGTGAAATCATGATGCTCCTTTGGAGGCAAGGATGGTGAAACTTTGACCCATATATGTTGGGCAAGTTGTTAGGAGGGCAAGTTCTTATAAAAGGACATCATGCTTGGAAGGGTGGAGGGTCTGCGTAAGAGAGGAAGTCCCTAAACAAAACAGATTGACATGGTGACTGTAAGAAGGGGCTGAAGTGTGTCAGAGATGGTGAGGGTGTGTGTCAGAGATGGTAAGGATGGCACAGGACAGGGAGGGTTCAGAGCAGTTGTTCACGGGGTTACTAAGAGTTGTACTCAATTCAACAACACCTAACAACAGCGCCTCTATTTTCACAGCCAGCGGCATAGCATTTTTAAATCAAAGTTAATCTCTCAGTCTTTCTCTCTCAGCTCTACTTCTCCTCCTCTCACCCTACCCCTCCCATTTCCCTGCTCTGGTAGCATAGTGTTTTATGTTTCAGATGGCTAACCAATAAATAGGTCAGTGGTTTGAATCTACCAGTCACTCTGTGGGAGGATGGTCAGCTCCTTCTGTAAAGATTTACAGCATCAGACAGGCAGTGAAGGATCACCAGAGGTTGGAATCTCCTCAGGAAAGACGGGTTGGTGCCATACATACACTGGGCTCACCTCTATACGCTAGGATAATCTCTCCGTCCCCAAACCCTAATTTAATCTCACCTGCAAAGTCCAGTGTAAGGAAACATGTGCAGAGTTTTCAGAAATTAGAATGTGAGTATCTTTAGGTCCTACCACAGATAGGGATTTTTGGTGTGTGTTTCTTAGAATATCATTGCCTTTTTCCCCCCAACAGTTGCCTTTTTTCCACGTTAAAAGCAAGTTCTCCTTCAAAGAGAAAGCATGGCTTCTCAGACTTTTCACCTCCTGTATTACTCAGGTATAAATGTAATACACTTAAGGGAGCTCTGGTGGCCTAGTGGCAAGAAGCTGCTCTGCAATTCCAGAGGTACACGGTTCGAATCCACCAGATGCTCTGCTGGAGAAGGAGGGGCAATCTCCTCCTGTACCAGTCAGATCTGATTTGACGGTACACTCACCAAAAATAATAAAATTTTTTTTAAATGTAACACACTTGTACTCATTTTAAGTCTTACTGGATCACCAAAATTCTGTGTCATTGGGCATCATGGGTGCTCTGCATGAAAGAAGCTACAAGGAACAGCCACAGATTACTCTGATTGCTCTTGTCCCTTCTGTTCATGTGTGCACACCACCGTTCCAATGGATCTTGCGTTGTTGTTGTTGTTGCTGTTATGTGCCATCGAGTCGCTTGCAACTCATAGCGACCCCATGTACAACAGCCCTAAACCCTGCTCTATCCTGTGCCAATCGCATTGCCTCTGACACATCCATCCCGATTACCCCAGTCACTGGATCAATCCACCTCATAGAGGGTCTTCCCCTCCTGCGCTGTCCCTCTACTCTACCAAGCATGATGTCCCTCTCCAAGGACCTGTCTCTCCTTACAACATATCCAAAACACAAACTCAAAGATAAACTCCAAGATGGTAAAAACAGAGGCTTAAGCCAAGCCTGGAGACCCTGTACATACAGCATCCCCATAAAGCTGGCTCTGACCTGTGGCCAGGTGGGTTCTTGCTGGGTATCTATGCTAGAAAAGAAAATTAAAGGTAGAAAAATTGCTGCAGTTCAAACAGTGCTGGACTAGTCAACTCTCCCTCCCCTTTTTATTATGACTTCAGTGAAACTTTATAAAAGTAGTTGGGTTTGCGTTCAACCACTCGTGCGTGTTTTGTTTATGCCGTTAACGAGAATACACACGGTAACTCCGCTCTTCTCACGTCCTCCTTCGGATTCTCGTTTTTGTGAATCCTTTCGCTCCTGCCCTTTCCTGCTTCCTGAGTGTTATCCCTGAGCAGATGCTCCCCTGGGACTTTTTCTGGCTTCGTTTCTCTGTAACGCAGCAGGCTCAGAACGCTGCACCGTGGTCTCACCAGTTAGAAGTCTTGCAAACAGGAAATCAGGACACAGTTCCTGTGTTATCGAGAGCTGCTATAGCAGACATACTATAGGTGGGTGGCTTTGACAGACAGAAGTGAACTTTCTCATAGTTTAGGAGGCTAGACATTTCTCCTTATTTCCTTGGGGAGCACATGTGGTACAACAGCTGTATTTCCCCCAATCTGTGGTTGCTCGCTCAATTTCTTCCTTTTTATATCTCAAAAGAGATTGGGTTAAGACACATCCTACACTGAGACTTGCTTGTCATTAAACTTGTCATTAACCCAAAACAACCATGAGGTAGCATCTCATCCCAGTCAGAATAGCAAAATTCAACAGAACAGCAAACATCAAATGCTGGTGAGGTTGTGGAGCAACTGGAACCCTTATTCCCTGTTAGTCGAAGTGTAAAATGGTGCAACCACTATGGAAAGCAGTATGGCACTTGCAAATAGAAATACCATTTGACCCAGAAATTCCATTACTGGGAATTTACCCTAAATAAACCATAACTGCCACCCAAGCAAATAGATGCACACCCATGTTTATTGCTCCTTTGTTCACAATAGTAAAGAGTTGGAAACAACCAAAGTGCCCATCAACAAGCGAATGGATAAAGAGACTGTGGTATATTCACACAATATAATATTATACAAACTGGGTGACCTTGGGAGACATTATACTGAGTGAAATATCTCAGTCACAAAAAGACAAATGTGGCATAGGGCCACTGTTACAAAACAGGATGGACACGGGGGCTCGGGGAAACTAAGAAAAGAGATCTTATTTTAAAAAAGTCTTATTCTCATTGTGAACTATATCTAAAAGTAAGACTTAAGAGTCACATTATGATTCTTTCAAAGTCAAACTCTCCCCAGTTACCGCTGGGGATCTGTCCACTGCCTGATATGACCTTGTCTTACTGTCACTGCTTAATAAATATTGGTCAGGAGCTTGGCTGGTTGTGGTATCTACATTTCCTTCAGTCCAATCTTCTCTAAATTGAAATGTCTCTCTCCAGCACACCACCTGTGCCTTCCTCTGAATATCAGGTTACATTCACTCAAGAGATGAAGGTAGGATGGAGAGAGAAAGTGACACTGCCTCCGGACACTTCTATTTAGTGACATGGCTAATTGGAGAGCTTTATGTGAGGGACTTGTGTGGCTCTGGTAACCCAGTGGGTAAGGAGTTGCACTGCCAACCCAAAGGCAGGCAGTTCAGATCCGCAAGCTGCTATGAGGGAGAAAGACAGGCAGTGTCTTCCCATGTGACTTATACCCTCTGAAGAGCTTCTGGAGGGTCAACCATGAGTTGATTCAGATGCGTAACAGTGTGGTTGCCTTTTGTTCACTTTTATGTTCTCTGATAGCTCTCAGACTACGGGTCTAATGAGCTTCCTTCCCCCTCTTCCCTTCCAGATGAGGCTGAGGCGCATATTGATTATGAAGAGAATTTCCCCGATGACCGATCGGTGTCATTCAGAGAGCTCATGGAGGATTCCCGGACCGAGGCAGACGTGGACAGCCGCCGGGGAGAAGCCGCTGTGGAGGCCCCCATGCAGGACCGGCTGGTCTCCATCTCCATGGAGAGCGGAAAGAAAGCCTTTGTCCCAACCATGGGCTTGTCCAGTGCTGTGAGCACTGTCCCCACCGACTTGACAGGATCGTGGCCAAAGAGGAAGTTCTTGTTCCAGTTCCCCACAGAGACCATCCACGAGGCCGAGTTGGAAGAGGAGGTGGACGATGACACCAAAAAGCAGCCTCCTGCTGGAGACAAGCACAGTGATGGGGAGCTGGGTCTGGGTGACCTGGAAACCCAGGTGGTCTACGGCAGCACGGAGGACCCCTCATCTGTAGGTAAGAACGACAGCAAGGCTGGGGAGCCCGTGGTGAGCAGCAGTGACGAGTCCTGGCTGGATGGCTACCCTGTGACTGACGGGGCCTTGGCGAAGATGGAGGCAGAAGAGACAGAGGATGGAGACAAGGGAGATGGGTCAGTGGGCCTGGATGAGGGTGTCCTGCTTCCGCCAGACCAGCCCGTTCTTGTGGAGGTCAAGAAGCCCAAGAGCACCATCTTCACGCCAAGTGGTGATATAACCATGGCCTATGGTTCAGTGCTTCCAACTCAAACGTTACACGGGGAAGCTTTGACTCTCAGACCCATGAATGTGTCCAAGACTGAGGCCTCCAGCAAGGATGGTGGTGATGTGACCACCTCAACTGTACCTTGGAGATTTGCCACAGACACGTCTCCCGAGGCCACCATACACCTTGAACCTACCGACTCTACCTTGGACCCAGTAACCACCACTGTCCAACAGAAGCCTCACCTTGTCCCCACGTCTACCACGGTGGTCACCCAGCCAGCCACAGAAACCACTGCTTCTGACGTCCAGGACAGCTTCCCATACCTGCTGTCTGAGGACTTCTTGGGACAGGAAGGCCCAGAACCGGGTGCAGGGGAGAAGCTCCATCCGAGCCTGGAGCCATGCGTGGGGGACGAGTGTCCCAACTACAGCAGAGGACCTGTGATCGCCACCATTGTCACCGTCCTGTGCCTGCTACTGCTCCTGACCACTGTGGGGGCCGTGTGGGGCTACCGTAGATGCCAGCATAAGAGCTCTGTGTACAAACTGAACGTTGGCCAGCGGCAGACTGGGCACTACCACCAGCAGATCGAGATGGAGAAGGTCTAGCCAGCGTTGGAAAGTGCCGTCCCAAAGCCGCTTGGGTGGAAGACCAGATAGACCATGACACGTCACACTGACAACCACATCATGGAACACGTGGAGCGGAGCACATTTTTCTTTTTCTGCCCCCTCCCGTCTTTGTCTTACACTGAGAATCTCTCCAGAAGAACCAGGCAGCGCAGGAAGGCTGTCATCACACAGCTGGTGACTCCACGGCCATTCTGCCCTGGGATTTATTGAATGACTCCCAGACCCATGCTTGGGCCTTCATTCCAGCAGGAGGTCAAAGCGACTTCTGTTTTCTCATAATGATGATTATCTTTTTCTTTTTTTAAAAAAAAAAAATTAATTACCTGCGCTGAGTTTTTAAAAGTGTGATAAACTGAGCAAAATCTGAAAGGAATGTTATTTAAGAGACAGATGGTTCTTTATTTAGAGTTGGGTGTGGATAAGTGATGGGTTGTTTTCTTTTCAAATTTGTGGTGTAGCTGAGAGCAAGTGAGCGGAGACACAGTCGGACGCATCCAGGCTTCTTTTTACGTTTCCCCACCAAGACTGCAAAGACTGGAAGAATGATGTTTTGTTGGGGGCAGGTGAGGAATGAAGAGACCCACATCCACCTCTGTTCCCTCCGTCGTGTGGGACAGCCCACTGCTTTTTAGAAACCAGGTTAGCTTTGTACAAATAGGCCCCATTTCCTCTCGGAAGCGGTGGCCTCCTTGTCCTTGACCAGCCTGTGCCTAGGAGTGTCTTGACATTTTTGCCAGGAGCAACAAAAGTCAGTCCTTGGTTTTCTCTCTCAAAATTAACCATTTCTCTGGACTCCAGTAAGAGGGAATGGCATGGGAGAAAAATTTGGAGAGGGCCAAAGACTTGACTATCAAGCCCGGCTTCCTACTTGATGGAAAAGCAGGGGGTCTGATAAGAACAGGATGTGTTCTGTGCTCTTGTGTTATTTACTCTAGTTTGGAAAGTGGGAGCTCTGTGGAAAGGGGTCTGTCCACATGAATGAGGCACCTGCTGTATACAGTCTACATTACCTTATGGTGACCCAGCAGATTGTAACATGAGTGTCAGAGTGTGCTCCCCAGTCCAGCAGTATCAACATCACTGAGGCCTTGTTGGCGATGTAAATTATGGAGTAAATTATGCCCCAGACTCATGAAGCAGAGTCCTGCTCTGTGACCAGTCCCTCCAGGTATTCAGATGCACACTCGGGTTCGAGAACAATGGCTTATGAGACCCTAAGAGTGAGCTTTGATGCAAACTGAAGATGTAGAAACACAGAAGGTGAGTAAGAACCCATAGTTTGCTGTTCTGTGCCATCAAGCATAGGTTTGTGTGCCCAAGTCAGCATTAGTCACTGCCCAAATGCCATCTCCACTGGTCTCCTGCATGTTGGCACAGAAATAAAATATGGCAGAGCCTTTCAGTATGAGTCATTGTCGAAATAGTTTTCCATGGTAAAAAGAGATGAGGGCAATTTATTTATTTCAAGGAGTCCTAGGTCTTTGTGTAGCATGAGAGAAATCCTGATTTTCTTTTTTTCTAACCATAAGCGAAAAGATTTCTCACAACTTACTTGAGGCACTTTTTTGGGGTGCAGGTATTGGGCTGCTTAGTTCTAGAGTTAGTAGAACATAATCAGAGTCCTTTGTCGACATAACTGGGCAAAACAATGGCCCGAGGCACCAACTGGACAACCCACAAGTCAGATGAAATCGAGGGCAGTGAGAAGAAACCGCTTTCTGCATGGAGCCAAAGCAAAACACAAGGGACTACAGAACAAAAGGCAGCTTCTGTTATCTATTTATAAATTAGGTCCTTTTCTAACCTAACTTTTCTATTTTAATTGTATAAAATAACCTCTCTCTCAACAATGGGATTGTGTCCATCACACACTTGTAATAACCCTGCAACACTGAATTTATACAAATCTTGTAAATGGGTAATATTACTATAAATGCATTATTAATACGGTTGCAGCAAACATATTAACCCGTGTAAATGTGTTGTTTTGTAGACCTAGACTGCAAAATAACCCAACACATCACTGTGTAAGTGTTCACTGATTTGGTGTCACCTAAATTAATGCAGCAGCATCTGCAAGTGCACGTCGAAGAGGAATAAAGGCCCTGCTGGCCGAGATGTCTGTCCCTCTGCTTTAAGACTGGTCAGCAGTCCATGCTCATGCCAGTTGGGAGGGTTCCATTAATGCAAAGCTTCCGAGGTATTTAAAATAAAGAATTCTTTCAAATAAACCGTTGCTAAATGTATTTTATTTTTACCTTACATTGCCTTGATTTAGGAAGGAAAACTCTTTGCAGATCTTGAGAATTATGTTTGAATACTTCCTGCTTCTAAGTCTCTCAACCAAGGGACCTCCTGCTGCAGATCTTCAGAGACGTCTAGAGAACTCCTGGGAGCCTGAGGCCCCATCTCCTTTCCTCCCTCTTCCTCACTCTGCTAGAAGCAGCCTCTCTTCTCACCCCACTAGGGGCCACTCCACTACAGGCAAGCGCCTCAAGCCTGCAGCTCAAGATGTGGTCCTTAGGCATCTCCGGACGGCTTGTTAGAAAGGCAGCCTCTCGGGCCCCACCCAAGAGAGGCTGTATCTCAGTTGCCATTTAACAAGATGTCCAAGTGGTTGATATGCATGAGAAAGCTTAAGAAATATTGGCCTTATGGAGCTCGGGGGTGGGGGTGGGGGGCTAGTGGCAAGAAGCTGCACTGCAATCCCAGAGATATGCCGTTCGAATCCACCAGATGCTCTGCTGGAGAAGGACTGGCAATCTCCTGTACCAGTCAGATCTGATTTGACGGTAAGCACGGTGTTGTTGTTAAGTGCCGTCGAGTCGCAGGTGACTCATAATGACGCTATGAAGGAGAGCCCTCGACGCTGTAAGCACATTAAGTAGTATTTTTTAAACATTTATTATTTTGTGTGTGTGTACCGTCAAATCAGATCTGACTGGTACAGGAGGAGAGTGTCCCTCCATCTTCAGCAGAGCATCTGGTGGATTCATGTAATAATTTTTTTTAAGAGAGAGAGAGAAAAAAAAAAAGAAAAAGAAGGAAAGAGAAAGAAAGAAGGAAGGAAGGAAGGAAAGAGAAAGAGAAAGAAAGAAGAGAAAGAAAGGAAGGAAAGAAAGAAGAAAGAAAGAAAGGAAGGAAAGAAAGAAAGAAAAAGAAAGAGAGAAAGGAAAGAAGGAAGGAAGGAAGGAAGGAAGGAAAGCAAGGCCTTAGACCAGAACTGATTGCCTACCATCTCTTAACTGGTGGGGCCCTCAAAGGAACCATTGAGGAGGGTTACAGGAAGGCACCGTCTACAGTGTGTGATGTAGACTGGGTACAGGGGACCATCATGGACAGTGCAGCTGGTAGGAAACCAGTGAGAATTTCAGGAACACCAAGGGCACTGCTGGCCAAGGAGAGTCCAGCTGTGGTCAGGAGGCAACAGGGATGGGAATGCCCGCACCTCCTGTCACCCTGCAGTCTCTTGCCTGCTCATCCTAGTATCTCAGTCTCTAAATCCAACCAGAACCCCGAGGGTTAAGCAGGCAGTGTAGATGCCGGCAGTCAGGCTCCTGGGGTACAGGGCAGGGCGGGGAATGATCTGAAGGGACAACAGGAGAAATCCAACCTGGAAACCATCAGTTCCAATCCCATCATCAGTTCCAATCCCATCCGCCTTATGTCCCCATTTACTTTCATGACCTTTGGAGGTTCATACATCTCAAACCACTCAATGGAGTAAATTACCCTTGTGCCCTCCCCAAACCCTCTTCACAGGTAAACCAGTCGACCAGCTGCTCAATGGTCATAACCAGGAAATGGCCCTTTGCCTATTGGGAGTGCTCTTACCTGAGAGATTACACCTACCCTAAGCCCCCTCATGCAGCCATGACTGGTAGACCATACATACAACAGGCCAGTATCTTGCCTCAAGGTACGTGTCATTGGCCCACCTCATGCCATGAAATCTGACTGAAATGTCTCTCAGCTGAGACCACATTTTTGGTGACTTGCATCGTAGCCCTTCTGTGATCACTCCATCGTGGCCACAAGGCTTCGCTTCAGGACATCTGGATGCCAGACACCCCATTCACACTCACTTGATCTCCGTGGGCTCCGTTCCTTCTCAACCCAAACTTTTTCCAGGGCGTCCTGCGGAATGCCTAGGCTGACATCAATACAACTCCATGTGTCCCCCGCCTCTTCTTCAAACAACTTCTGTTTGGGCTCTGTAACATGGGCCACTTAGTTTTTGTACTGACTGATGGTTCATTCTTTCCTCTCCTTGCTGTGACATGTAGACAACACAGCAGCCACTGGCAGTCAAGCCTGAAGATGCTTTGGGTCCTTTTTGAAATTGGTAAATATTGTGTCAGACCTTGACCTTGGCAGCAAGGGGCCAGCTCATCAGGCCCTAAACAAACCCTGAGCTCTAGATGTTTTCCATAGATGTATGAGAAATACAGGTGGGATCCCATAGCTCCTCTATGCAAGCCTTCCAGGGAGAGGAATGGGCTTCCTTTGCCTGGGAAGACCATATGGCTTGTAGGGACCACCCCGGCCTAAGTACTAAGATCCAAGAGTCCCTTTGTTAAGGATTTCTGTCTCACTAAGTGTCAGAAATTTCACACGTTTTGCAAAACATCAGGATGCATGCATATACTTAAATACACCCAGCTGATGGCAAGAGTTGTTATGTGCAATCGAATTCTTGCAACTCATAACGACACTATGTACAAGAGCCCTAAATGCTGCTCTATCCTGTGACAACCTCGCCATCTCTGACACATTCATTCCCACCACCCCAATCACAGAATTGATCCATCTCGAGGGTCTTCCTCTCCTGCGCCGTCCCTCCACTCTCCCAAACATGATGTCCCTCTCCAAGGACCAGTCCCTCCTTGCAACATAGGTCAGACAAAGCCTCAAAGTCCTTGACTCCAGGGAACATTCGGGCTTCACCTTCTCCAGGACAAGCCTGTTTGTTTTCC